AAAAAAAAAAAGAGGGCCGAAGAGGCTGATCAGCTGGTTAGATTATCTGGGGTGTGGCTTCCAGGCAACAGGCCTCTCTGACCTTTGCAGGCTCCAAAAGAACCCAGGATTAGCCCTCAAAGTCTAGCAGAGACTTAAGTTTGTGGCTGCAGGCATAGTGACCCCATGCCAAGGAATGATACACATAGTGGGCCAGCCATGGTATCCCAAATTCTCTACCTCCCATCTGCCCCCTCAGACTGCCTGGGTACCTCAGGGTGAGGCCTGGGGAAGGCCACCTGTACCTGCCTCCTTCAAGGCAGGTAATAGGAAACAACAGAAGTGCTTACCTGCTTCCCCCATGGGGAGATAGAGCTTACTCCAGCTTGGGGGTCAGGGAACCCCACCATTTAGAGCCTCTGAGGGGCTTGGCGAGGGCACAGCAGGGCCACCTGGTCAGTGTCTGCTCCTGAGTTTTGCACCTGGGCTGTGTGCTACTTGTGAGAGGAGGAAACTCAGCTGAGGGGATGTCGAAAAGGGCTCCCCAGAAAACATGGCCCTTGGGCATCTTGTCGTCCTGCCCCACGCCAACCCCAGGCCCCGTACCCTGTGCTTGAAAGAAAAGTGGGAACAGAGTGGGCTCTACTGGCCAGCAGCCTGGCAGAAGGGGGATGCCAGGGGGCTGGGCCTCACCCCCAACTGACCTCCCATGGTTGACCCAAGCCCTGTTAGCCTTCTGTGCTGAGTTCTCAGGATGCTCTGAGGGCCTCGCAGCCTTCCCAGGGCCTGGCACTGAGGAGGTACCTAACTGCTGTTTGTGGAGCACAGGAGCACCCTGGGCCCTCAAACTCCCCAAACCTTGAATCTGCACCCCCAAGAGCTTGAGCATTGAGGAAGGTGACCAGGAGGGGACCCCAGAAGATGAGAGGAGGGTTAGGGAGCACGAAAGATCAAGCTCTCCTTCTGTCATGTGGGTCCCAGTGTCTAGGAGTGAACAGTGACCCCCCCGGGACCCTCAAGAATCATCTGCCACACACTGGGCTGCGGGGGCCTGACCCGGAGCTGGCCCTCCATTGGGAGGGAGGCCAGGCAAAGCAAGGTAGATACCCACATGCATCGGCAGAGCCACGGGACACATGCTCAGCTCTCTGTCCACGTGGGAGTGAAATAACACACGTTCCCAAGCATGGGCCTGCAGGTACAGGTGCCCATCAGGTGGAGCCCACATACCTGCAGTTGATATACGCATACACACAGAGACACATACAGACACACACATGTCCCAGAGTAGATTTGTACTGATCAGCAATCAGGAGGGTGGGATGGGAAAGTTACAGGTCTTGGATTCAAGTAGACCCAGGTCCCAACGCCTTCCCCTGCTAGCCAGCTCTGTGAGTTTAGGCAAAATTACTTAACCTTGATGAACTTCATTTTTCTTACCTACAAAAACAATGCTGGGCTTCCCTGGTGGTGCAGTGGTTAAGAATCCTCCTGCCAATGCAGGGGACGCGGGTTTGAGCCCCAGTCCGGGAAGATCCCACATGCCACGGAGCAGCTAAGCACGTGCGCCACAACTTCTGAGCCTGTGCTCTAGAGCCCGCAAGCCACAACTACTGAGCCCACGTGCCACAGCTACTGAAGCCCGAGCACCTAGAGACCGTGCTCCGCAACCAGAGAAGCCACCGCAATGAGAAGCCTGCGCACCGCAACGAAGAGTAGCCCCCGCTTGCTGCAACTAGAGAAAGCCCGTGTGCAGCAACAAAGACCCACCCGAGCACCTAGAGCCCGTGCTCCACAACAGGAGAAGCACCGCAATGAGAAGCCTGCGCACCGCAACAAAGAGTAGCCCCTGTGCGCTACAACTAGAGAAAGCCCATGCACAGCAACGAAGACCCAACACAGCAAAAAATAAATAAAAACAAAACAAAAGCAAAAAACAATGCTGACCCCAACCTTTCAGAGCTGCCATGAGTAAGTGAGATGGATTGTGTCTACGGTAGGGTCTGGGGCATGTGTCAGCCCCTGAAGTGCAAGTAAGGTGGCCAAGTGCAGGGAATGAGTGCGAGACCCCAAGAGCCCAACACTGTATCCCGGAAACTCCTGGGCCTCCCTTTCTTCCCTTTGCAATGAATGAGCAGAGCAGTGCTCTGAGCCTCCCTGCGCTGTGTGGGGAGAAGAAAGATAGTGGCTGCAAGTCATGAAGGCTGGAAGGTGCTGCATACGACGTGGTTATTATCAGGCAGAGTCACCTTTGGCTCTCAGATCTGCCCCTCCACTTCCCCTCGTCTGAGCAGAACCTTCTTGGCTGGTCAGAGCCCAGAAATGCCAGCAGGTGGCAGCCTTGTGGGGTCGGAGGGCTGATCTGCTGTAAGCCCAGCACAGCGAGCCTGGTTGCAGCCCCTTTCCTGAGCAGAGGGGCCTCAGCTGGTCATGAACAGCTTTAACAGTGGGCTGAAGAATCCGGAGCCCTCTCCACCCAACGGAAGAAGAAAATGGGTCACCCTTGTAGGGAGACACCTGTTAGGTTTTTAAGACGAAAAGTTCTGATCTGAGGGCATTCGCTGATGGGTAGGGATTGGAGGGTGTTTTTTTTGTTTTTTGTTTTTGCGGTATGCGGGCCTCTCACTGTTGTGGCCTCTCCCGTTGCGAAGCACAGGCTCAGGACGCACAGGCTCAGCGGCCATGGCTCACGGGCCCGGCCGCTCCGCGGCACGCGGGATCCTCCCGGACCGCGGCACGAACCCGCGTCCCCTGCATCGGCAGGCGGACTGTCAACCACTGTGCCACCAGGGAAGCCCTGGAGGGTGTTTTCATTTCATGAGCAGGTGAAGGGGACCTAGCAGGTAGGGGCACCTTGTGAGGAGAAGGAATAACCACGTCTGTATTAAGGGAGCGTGGAGTCAGACTCAGGGTCACTGGGCAGGCTGACCGGGTCCACACAGTCTAGACCAAGGGGCTCCATCACAGCCCTTAGGTGTGTTAGTCTTCACTCTTCCTTGACTTGAGTGATCGATTGATTGGATACTTTTTGTAATATACTTACAGAAAAGTAGTCCTACTTCTGGATGCCTACCGTAGCTATTGCCCAGAAGATTCCTTTTTTTTTTTTTTTTTTCCTTTTTAAACAAGAGCTGGAAAACTAAAGCGTGACCAAAGTGGGGGAGGGCCCTGCCCTAAATCTAGGTCTGGTGTGGGTGTGTTAGGGTCACAGCTTAGCCCAGGGTCCTGTCTTCCCTGGGGTCAGCCAGCCAGCCCATGGCCAAGTTCCTGCCTGCCCCACCCTCCTCACAGCCCTAGGCTGGGCAGGCCCTTGGCCCAGAAAGCCTCTTGATCGGTACTGATCCCTTGAATTCTTCAGGAACCGGGTTGGTGAATGCAGTTGCCAGGTATCACTGATGCTACAGAGCAGCCCTGCCAGAGCTGTCCTGCGGTGAGTACCACCCAGGGGCTGCCCAGCCAGGCCCCGTGCCACCACCCGCCCACCTTCCTCCTGGTCCCAGCAGGCCCAGCCCAGCAGCCCCAGATTGTTTGTATCCTCCAGTAGAGGCTGCCCGAGCCAAGAGGGAGAGATTGGAAGGGGAATGAGGGAGGGAGAGCAGGGGGGGAGAGGGGGGTGAAATGTTTTATTTATTTATTTTTTTTTGGCACACACCCTTATAAGGCTACTGAAGTCATTACCGATGTAACAAACCAACTAAGCAAGCAAGCACCTCTCACCAAAGTTCCCTTCTATAAACACGGCCTGGCCAGCCCCCCTCCCCTCCGCCCTCCTTCCCTCCCTGGGGATTTGCTCTCCCCGACGTCTCTTTCTTACCCAGCCCCTTTTCCTCCTGCTACTTTCCTTTTTCCCTTCACTGGTCGCAGGGGAAGGGAGCCTGCCAGCGGTGAGGGCCTCTGCAGCCAGGGAGCTGGCGCTGATGGTGGTGGCATTGGCGGCTACGGGAGCCTGAAGCCCGGCTGGCCAGCAGGAGGGCAGGGCGGGCCCGACGAGGGAGACGGTGAGGGCGTGCGTGGGGTGCTCACGAGGCGTGTGGAGACGCGGCAGCACACTGAGGAGGCCATCCGCCAGCAGGAGGTGGGGCAGCTGGACTTCCGCGACCTCCTGGGCAAGAAGGTGAGTACCAAGACCTTGTCTGAAGAGGACCTGAAGGAGATCCCAGCCGAGCAGATGGATTTCCGCGCCAACCTGCAGCGGCAGGTGAAGCCGAAGACTGTGTCGGAGGAAGGGAGGAAGGTGCATAGCCCCCAGCAGGTGGACTTCCGCTCTGTCCTGGCCAAGAAGGGGACTCCCAAGACCCCTGTGCCTGAGAAGGTACCACCTCCAAAACCTGCCACCCCAGATTTTCGCTCGGTGTTGGGCAGTAAGAAAAAATTACCTGCAGAGAATGGCAGTAACAACTCTGAAGCCTTGAATGCCAAGGCAGCAGAAGGTCCCAAGCCTGTAGGCAATGCCCAGCCTTCAGGGTTTCTGAAAACCGTGGGCAATGCCAAGCCGGCCGAGACCCCCAAACCCATGGGTAATGCCAAGCTGGCTGAGACCCCCAAACCCATGGGCAATGCCAAGCCGGCCGAGTCCCCCAAACCCTTGGGTAATGCCAAGCTGACTGAGACCCCCAAACCCTCGGGTAATGTCAAGTCAGCGGAGACCCCCAAACCCTTGGGCAATGCCAAGTTGTCCGAGGCCCCAAAACCAGCTGGGAACGAAGAACTTAAGGAGGTTAAGAATGATGTGAACTGCAAGAGGGGCCATGCAGGGGCCACAGATAATGAAAAAGGACCCGAGAGCCAAGGGACAGCCCCAGCCTTCAAGGAGAAGCTACGAGATCTCCGTGTGGTGGAGGGTGAGAAACTGCTGCTTCAGTGCCAGGTGTCCTCTGACCCCCCGGCCACCATCACCTGGACCCTGAATGGAAAGACGCTCAAGACTACCAAGTTCATTGTGCTCTCCCAAGAAGGTAACATGGTTGGGGCCGGGAGGAAGGGTAGCTCTGTCCCAGCCACCGTCAGCTCCTGGAGCCCTGGCTTGTTGATGGTGTTAGTAGCCCAGAGCCTGGGTGGGAAAGGCCACTCTCTGTGCCCCTCACTCACGGGATTGGTGCCCGCCACACTCCATGGCTGGGGGACAGGGGTGGGTGCCTGGTCCCCCAGGCACATTCCCAGATCTCGGCATCTGTCTGGCAGAGCCCCCTCGTGGCACCCCTAGGCGTGGCTCCTCAGAGCAGGCCTGGGCTAATGCCCACCTTTGGCCCAGAGAAGGCTCCGATCATAGGCTTGGAAATGGGGGCCCTGGGGTTAGGGCTGACCAGGGGCTTTGGGCTGAGAACTGCCTTTGAAGCAGTATTTTAGGTTCAGGTCAGGGTGTGCAGTGATGGGATGTGATTTGGGGTCAACAACTTAAGTCTTGATAACATTGTGTGTTTGAAGGGACCCGAGGGGGATGCCAAAACCCCAAGCAGCCCCTACGGCACACACTCACAGGCAGACAGAGCCACTCGCTTCCTAATTTGGATGAGACTTTTGTTTGCTGCTATTTCACATTCTTGGGTTGTGGAGAGAAGAGGGGGGGCCCTAAATCCTGCCATCTGGGGCCTTTCAGGGTTTGGAGTTCTCAGATGGGCCAGTTTAACCTAGAGAAGAGATGGGGACGAGATGGGTATTTTCTCTGACCCCTCATTTGGTTTGAAATGTTTCCGTAAATCCCAGTCCTGCATGGGAGCTCCAAGGACAGCAGGCTCCCCACGCCCCACTCTGGTGGCCGGCCCTAGGATAGAGTCTGGCCTGACTCGAGGCTGACGCTGGTAGCTCTGGACAGGGCAGGGCACAAGCTCCCGGGGTCGTGGCATTTTAACCTTGAGGGGTAGAGGGCAGTCAGGGCAGAGGCCCTAGCAGACAGGTCCTGTCAAATCCAGATCAGCTGAGACAGAAGTACTCCCCCCGCTGTGCTGCCTTCCTTCCCGTCCAGTGACGGCACCCCTCTCCACCCCTCCCTCACCCCTCATCTGGCTTTCTTTCTTCCTCTTAAAAACCCTAATGAAGCATTTGAAAATAGCGTTATCCCTCTCAGCTCACGATGGAGTTTCTGTCTTCACTCTGCAGCTCAGACAGCAAATCTGGAGCAGCTGAGCGTTTTGAATCTAACTGCTGAAGGAGTAAAGGGGAAATTAGCCAGGAGAGAAAAAAGGGGTGTCTTTCCTGCTAATGTGTTGACACGATAGCTTTTCCACATGAAAGTCCTCAGCTTGGTAGGGGCCTCCAGAAGTCATCTCATCCGTCCCCCTGCCTCTGCTAGTTCGGCCTTCCCCCACACAGGAAGGTATGAGGGATCACCATGGTGGGATGAGATGCCCAGGGGAGTGGATGCCAAGCCTTCCCTGCCACCTCTGTGGGCCCCTCCCTGTTGGAAAGTTCCGGGTAAAACTGACCCGAAACCTCGACCAAGAGAATTTCCCAGGTTACCCTGTGGTGACCTCTCGGGGCGGGACAGAAGGTGGGCAGCTGCCATCGTGGGGACATGTGTGGTCCCATAGTCCTACACGCTGTGAGGTCCATGGCTGTACCACCCTCGGGGAAGCTGATGTTGGGACGGCTGAGGGCAATGCCCATGGCTGTGCAGCTGTTGTGGGACCTGCGTGGAACCTGCAGAGCCACCAAGAGCTGCTTATAAACAATCAACTGGACAAAGCGGTGTAAGCACACCTCAGCTCTGGTCTCAGAAACGCACCTGAGCCCTTAGAACGGGCTGTTCATACCCAGGGTGCCTTGATGTAGCATAGCTGCTGGGCGCCGAGACCCTTTTACGCTGGCTACTCCAGTGTCACCTCCCACAGAAAGCACCTCAGACGGACCCTTTAGGTCTAAAGCTGGGGAAGAAGACATGACTAAATGAAGGCCAGGACAATGAGAGGATAGAGAGAGACTGGGGCGGGGGGGGGGGGATCAACTCATGGGGTTTTGAGGAGAATTAAAAGATGTGACATTAATAAAGCTCCCATTTCAGTGTCTGGCTCAGAGAGCACAAGCAACAAGTGTTATTTCCGATCACTTCCCATGCCTGACTATGTAGGATACAGCATTGTGAACAATGGAAACATTATAACCCAACTTCTTCCTTACGTATTCTGAATAGATCATTTTTTGGAGGGTAAGTGGTAGGAAGCTGCCACGTTTTTTAGGCTAATTCCTTCAATTCACTCCTTTGGTTTATCTTTAGACTTAACATTTACTAGGATGAACAGGAATATCTCTGACCATCAGAGTGTTGATCTAGAGAAATTGCATATTCCTTCTTTCTAATTAATCTGGCTAGTGCCTACAGCTACTTTAACAAGCTATGATATGCAAAGATGAAATATTCCAATTATTTTTCTATAATGCTATAATGCTTTTACAAGTCCTCTCCTCTGATGTATAATCTCCTAAATCAGACACTAAAGAAGAAATACCAGCTTTGATTTGCCAAGCTTATCCTTCTCACCAAAGTGGGGGAGAAAAAACGTACCAAAATCTTGATTCTCTCAACAGCTGTGACCTATTCCCTTTAGAACCAAGTCTTTCCTCTGTTTAGTGCTGAGTTCTCCTTCTGTGCTTGATTTGTTTCCTGCAGGGCCCACCACTGATGGTGGCATTTGGATTCAGTGACTTTTCTTTGCGATGAGGATGAATAAGACATGAAGTGAGCAGAAGCGGGTGTGTGTGGGGGGGGGGCGGGGGGAATTATGGAGATAGCCCCCAAACCAACTTTTAAAAAGGTTCTAAATATTTGTAATTCTCCTTTGAAAAATAAGAATAGCCTGCACTAATTGAACACCACGTGCGAGACACTGACCCAGGCATCTTACTATGTGTTTCACTCATTTAATCCTCACAACCACTGTACTGCCCATCTAACAGAGAAGTTAAGCGCTTTGCCCAAGGCTGCACAGCTAGTTAGTAACAGAGCTGGGATCGGAAGGCAGGCAGCTGAGTCCCAACGCCTAGACCGCTGTGCTCTATCACCTCTTAGTTAATTCTTGTTAGCGTGTCAGCATCCTGGTCCTTCCCTGATCAGCTCCCCGAGAGCATTGTCTATCAAGGGAAAAGGCTAATGGCTGTTTATTCCGCAACACGGTCAGCAGTTGTCAGGAGGCTGGAAGACTGGCGGTGCCCTCTGGGCTTGTGAGTTTCTGGTATTTGCACTGAGAGGAAGCTAACCTTGAAACGGGCCTGGTAGGGAGAAGGCCTGGCCTCAAAGCAGCAGCCACACTCTGTCCGCTGTCCCTTCTCTAGTGCTTCCCTGTCCAAGTCTACAAGAGCCCAGGTCAAACACAGACCCAGGAGAAAACCTGCGGTAAAGCCTGGTCAGTGACCACTTCAGGAGGCTCCGCTGCAGGGAGTGAGACCTCTGAGAGGTATGAGTAAATCTGCTCCCGATAGATCTGGAAAGAGAGGACACACACACACAGCGATAAACCTCTTCTAGCCAAGTGCCGATGATGAGCTGCTGGGAGTGAGAGGAGAGGGAGCTGAGTGCTGGGCCGCAGGGAGAGGCTGGCGGTGAAAGAGCAGAGCCTTGATCTGAAGTGTGAAGGCCGGCAGGGCCCGCAGCAGGAGAGGGAGGGTGTGGGCTTCCCAGGCAGGAGCACAGGCGGCAGCCAAGGCAGGCCCGCTCCCAGCATCATCTGGGCTAGAGAGGGAGGCGCGGCCCCATTGCATCCTCCATCATGCTAAGGAACTCAATTCTAAAGCCAGCAGGGAGCCATGTAAGAGTTGGGAATGGAGAGCAATAGGCGCAAAGCTGGGGTTTACGGCTTTTGATTGATTCTGTGCCCAAAGACAAGGAAGGAGCTTACCGAAGAGGGTGGGGAGAAAGGTGGTGAGGCCTGGACGAACAAGGTAGCCGTGGGCACAGACAGGAGATAACCAGTGCAAGAAGCAAAGGCATGACTGGGTCACAGTGACGGCATCAGTGGAGACAAGGAAGGAAGCTGGTGTTTTGAGGGGTTTGTAGGGAGAAGAGGGGCTGCTAAGTGGGTTTCCCCATCCTTCACACCCTCCTGAGCGTCCTGTCCACCTCCGCCTCCCTGGCTCGGAACCCTTCTTGCTCCACTGCACTGAACCCCCTTCTGTTACCTCATCTAAGATCAAGATTCACTTCCCCCAGGACTCCTTCCCAGACTGTTGTCCCTGGGGTCTTTGGCCATGACAGATTCTTGTGCCTTTCCCCCATCAATGTGTGTCTGTGACCTACTGCTGGTGGGCACCGTTGATAGGTTTCAGGGGTGCTTCTCTGAACCCTGTACTTGGATAGGGCTCATAGCCCACAGACTCCCCAAAACATGATTATGTCCACTCTGTCTAGCACCAAGGAGAGCAGGAGAGGTGTGATGGCAGTCAGTTGAGTTGACTGTTCCTTCTTGGAGGGACTTGTGGAGGAGTACTTGCTCTTCTTGTATCCCCCAGAATGGCAGAGTGGAGGGTGCTCACTTACAGCAGCTGGGCCTGCCCTCCAGGCCTGCAGGGTGGCCTCACCAGGCCCTTTCTGGACCCGCAGCAGCGCTGCTCAGGCCTTGGCCCAGGACCGGGAGGCCCATGGCTGGCCAGTGGGCTCTGCGCTGCTCCTGAGAAGTGCTTTCATCTTTATGCCTTGTTTGCTGTCCCTGGGCCAGGCTTCTGTCCCTGGCAAACATTTCTCCCCATCTATGAATGAGGGTTCATTTTTGTTGCTGCTGTCAACCGATGATTCATTTTTAATTGCCTTCAGTGTGGGATCTTGCAGAGGCTTTTTCAAAACCTGTGTAAGTCCATCCTACAAAACACAGGGATTTACACAGCACCTACTATGTGTGAGGCAGTATTCTAGCCCTTTTCATTGTATGCATAATCCACTTGAAGAATTCTGAGTTAGGCTTTTTTTTTTCCTTTTAGAAACTATACTATCTTTTTCAATGGTAGTTATGTTTGATTAAGTGTTCATGACTTTCTGTTGCATAGATCCTACCAGATCACCTGCTCCAGAAATATGCCTTGGACATTCTCAGAACGGCAAATTTTTGTTTTTAAACTGACTGCATTCCAGGCTCAGGAAAAACATTCATAATAGTCACAGTCACTGCCCTCCATGATCTAGCATGGGAGAGAGGCATGTGTTTCAGTAATGGCCTTGGGAGGCAAGCTCTGATAAAGGTGAACTCAGGGCACAGAAGAGGTCCACCTATGGCCAGGGGTGCTTAGAGATGGCAAGGAAGGCACCATCCCTGAGGAGGTGACCTGGAGCTGAGCTGTTCTGTCCCGGCATGCCGGGGGACCAGGTCAGGAGACACTGCTGACTGAGGGCAGCCTCAGAGCAGAGGCTCTAGGGCTTGGGACCACTCCCTCTACCTAGTACACCCCGCACCTCCTCTCCCCACACACTCAGAGAAAGCACAAGACGGTGGGGTGGTCTTCAGACTCTGTGGCCTTGAGGGGCTCTCCCAGGGACCGGTCTAGCTGAGCCATTCATTGGATCCCTGGTTCCCATCCCCCTCCCCTTCCTCTCAAAATTCCCCACCAGGCTGAGGCTTCTCAAAAAAAACTCTGGGAAACAGTTTTTCTTCTGGAGGTCAGGAATAAGCTGTCCCACAGGAAATACCAGATGCTTCAATCTGGGCCAGCCCAGCCTCCAAGCCTGCCGGGGGCCCTTCCCCAGCCCGCGCACATGGCCAGGGGTCCAGGCTCTGAGCGGCTTATAAAAACTGCCTTTCTGATGCTTTCCCCCCCGTGAAGGGCGAGGGCCGTGGTCTACATGCTCCACCTCTCCTGGGGGTCTCACTCCTGTTTTGTCCCATTTGGGTTTAAGGCTGAAGGCAGCTGGGGGACTGAAGCTGAGAGACAGTCAAGGATTCGACCAGGATGTCTGTTGGCAGTGGGATGTCTGCTCCCCGAGCCTTAGCCTCAGACTGAGGGAAAATGGCAAGATGGGGTCCGTTTCTTCTAAGCCTCACGTTTGGGGGCCAGAGGTCATCTGCGCATGCCCCTGCCCTCCCAGATGAATGCAAGTGTCTCTCTAGAAGATAGTAACCCTCATTCCCTGATTCCTGTGCCTCATATAGTTCTCGCTCTCACGACAGAGTTCCTAAAAATCCAACCTAAATCCTTTCTGTTGCAGCGTCTGCAAATTCTGTCTCCTAGCCACAATGGGAAGAGATCCTGAGGCATCGCCGACCCCGGTGGGAGAGCATAGTGAGGTCCTTCACTATGGTGAAGTGGGGTCTCAGTGAGAGTGTAGGAGGGAGGGGCGCAGATCAGCCATCCTGCCCCAAGGGGTAGGCAGGACCGAGGTTTCCCTGTTGAAGCCCTTACCTAGGTGCCAGGAAGTAAAGAGAACTATTCTGTCTCTGCTTTCTCCTCCAGCCTTAGTGAGGTTCTCTGGGCAGAACTGACGTCACCCTTCCTCGCTCTGAATATCCTGGTATTTGTTGGTCAAGTCTGTGCATCTGTCTCATGGGGGTGCGGGGACTTTTGAGATCAAAGGCCATGCTGCTTCACATACGCACCTGGGATGCACACAGCTTTGCCCGCTCAGAGCCAGTGACTTGTGCCGGGCAGTGTGGCGGAAAGGGAGGTGGCCGGAGCCAGTGGCTCCAGGCGGCAGGATGCACGTGGCTCTGGCTGACGACAGGGCAGCTTTGGGCAGGACGCCGTGCTGCTGGCTTGTGTGTGTGTCTGATGGCAGGAACGAGGGTACTGCTGCCCTCCTGCCTGGCCCAGAGAGCCCAGTCCTCAGCTGGTGTCTCCCCACACCCTAAGGGAAACTCCCCAGACGTGTCCCCCAGGGAAGTAACCAGCCCTGGGATGAGAGCTAGGATGGGTGAGGACCAGACTTCTGTTCACGCCCAGCCTGACCCCTCCTTCCCCCAACCAGGCCAGAAGAGTGTGCTGGGGCAAGGGTAGCCCTGTGGAAAAGGCCATGCCTCTCTGAGGGGACCAAAGGACCCTGCACTGAGGGAGGCAGCCCCACAGAGCCCCTCTCCCAGCCCAGCGCCCCTCATTGGCCATGATTCTCAGCTCAGATACCATTCCTGAAAAGCCAGCTCCAGGGTCCCAGGCTGGTCACTGTCTCCTCCCAACAGATCTGCCCACAGGCCAGGGTCCCTGCTGGACAGGGGCCCCTGCCCTCCCCCCATCACCTCTTTGTTCAAAATGCCCTTTTCTAGGATGCGTTCCCAGAAGCATTGCTGTAAGCAGGGCAGAGTGTCCTCACCTGCCACTGTCCCTACCACAGTCTGTGGACCTGAGCCTGACTACTGCTGTCTCTCTCGGTGACATCCAGTGTGAGGGCCTGTGTCCATCTGCCCCTTCTGTTGTGCTGATGCTCTCCAAAGGCAGAGGCTATTTCTCTCTCTTCTTACCTTTCTATCATATCCCCATGAGAGAACTTGCTTGGGTGGGGCGCGGTTGGGTATATTTAGGGATGAGTTATTTTGGATCTGGGTTATCAGCAAAAAGTGCCTTGGCTTTGGTGGGGCGAGCAGGTTGGTTCCCACAGGGTCTCTGATTTCTGGGCCTGTGAATAACACTTGCTCTGATGCTCCAAGTGCCCGGCAGGTGCTGGGCTCAGACCTGGTCCACTCAACAAATGTTCCTCTTCCCGCCCAGGCTCACTGTGCTCCGTCTCCATTGAGAAGGCACTGCCCGAGGACAGAGGCTTATACAAGTGCGTGGCCAAGAACAGCGCCGGCCAGGCTGAGTGTTCCTGCCAAGTCACCGTGGACGGTAGGTCATGCCCACCCACCCCTGCCACACGTCGAATCGCGCTTCTCAGCGCCCCCTTCCCACCGTACCTGAACAGGGCTGCAGCGGAGGCTGCCATCCCAACCTGTTCACTTTGTGGGTGACAAACCATCTTTTGCAAAACAATGAGACAGGAAGGAAAGTGGGAGCTCTACCTGGTGGTCCCCTGTGACCTCACAGCCCTGCCCCCGGCTGGGAAGAGGGCTGCTCACCTTGCTGGTCCCCCTTCCCCAGTCCTGACCGCCACATGCCAGGCAGGAAAGGGTGAGACAGGGCAGGAGGAGAAAAGACACACCCACAGGAAAATGACTACATAGTATTTTACAAGCCGCAGAGAGCAAGTGTCAGTGCCAGCAGGACAGACCCGTGAGGGAGAGGGAGCAGAGTGAGGTCCAAGTGGGGACACTTCCTCCAGGAGGTGAGTAAGGGCTGAGGCTTCGGGTAACGGGGACAGGCCTGCCTCTGCAGTTAGAGAAAAGTACTCATAATACAGCAGGGGGAGAGGAAGAGACGCGTGGGGACAGAGAGGCTTACCAGGTCTGAGTGGAGTTTCTTGTGAGGAAGGGGCGAATCCAAGCTGCAAGGAATGGGGATTTCTCCTAAAGAAATGCAGGTAGTATGTTTGTGACTTTCCTTTTCTCCTTTGTGTAGGGTTAGAATAAGAGGCTTGGAAGTAGATGGTTTAGGCCACCACCCTCACTTGGGACGGGACACACAGGCTGTTCAGAGAGGGAAAGCTTCCCTCATGAGGTTCCCTGCTCTATTGAGGGCTAAGCCAGGGCCAGAGTCCCATCTTGGGACTTGCAATCCAGTGCCCTCTCTTAGTATTTCGTTACTTGCCTGGAACTGTCTAAAAAGGTAGTTTGGGGAAAACAATTTCTTGCCCTTGAAATGCCTGGTTAGTAACTATCAGTGACACGTTAAAAGCTGGTGTCCAAATAAGGCATCTTGAAGACCAGTTTTGTTGTTCCTCTGACTTTGAATAAAATCACTTGACTTCTAAACCCCTAACCTGTTTCACCCCCATTCCACAAGATGTGGAATCCTTGTCTCCATTCTGGATTTTGTAATATGATTTCCTTATCATAAAAGCCGAGATCCGTGATACCTAATGAGTGGGAGAAAAGAAAAGAGAGTCTTAAAAACCAAAGTCTTTTTTAAAAAAAGCATATAATGGCAACAATTGTCAGTAGCCAACAGTAAACCTGAAACTGTAGAATATTGTGGGTGTCTCCCTGGAGTTCTGTGAATGTGTTTGTCACAGGGGCTCTTGAGTCTAAGGGAGCAGATTCCATGGGTCAAAGTGTACGGTCAGTTCAGAAGGGGGCTTGAAACACATGTTTTGAGGCTAGGGGCCGCTGCTTCTGATTACTCCTGTCACCCACCCAGGTCAGAGTTCTGCTTCTTTCTAGACAGGTACTGCAATTTAAAAAACAGTGTTTCTGGGAACTTGACCCCAGAAGCCTATTTCTAACAGCGCCACACTTGGGACCCGTGCTGGTTCCAGAAGGAAGCCCTGCCTGTTAATGAGGTTATATCTGCTTTTGGAATCCCTATAGCCTCTTTGGGTCCTATTTACATGGCTAGCTGAAGGCAGGGCTGCAATTCATTCTCCTTATCTGCAAAGTGTCAGCACCTTTTCCAGAAGGAGCAAATGGCGCATTTTTAAAAATTTCCTTTTTCCCTAGAGAATACATTTGGGGATTCTTTTTTTTTTTTTTTTTTTTTAAGGTTTGGGGAATTCATTCTGCAGCTTAAAGGGCTTTCTTTGCCCCTCAGTTGGTCTCCTTCTAATCTTGGCCATCATAATGTATCTATAGTTCCTTCAGAGGGGCCTCTGCAGGGTTTGGCCTCAGAACACAGACTGGGATGTGGGTCTTAGGAGAAGTGCTAGGAAGGGGATGAGAGGGAGACCAGCTGAGATAACAGGGCCGACTCCGGGTGGTTTGGGTTTTGTTTTGTATTTTTTCAAAGAGAAAAAGGGAAGGGCAGCCCCCTCCACACCCACGCTTTCCCGTCGCTACACCTGGAGCTATGTTCTTGTCCTTCCTGCCACATTTAGCTTTATCTTTCCGGCAAATAGGAAAGGACTACAGGCTCCTGAGCTGCTCCCCCGCCCCCTTTCAGCATCTTTCCCCCTGTGCTCCTCTCAGCTAAATAGACTTCAAGTCCTGCTCTGTCCCCTATCCCCTCAGCTCTCCCCGCACCCTTCAGCGAGAGTACCTGGCTTAGAGGTCCCAGTGGGCCCATGCACCCTTTGATATTATAGGCAAACTTTTATGTGTTTGTGGATTAGAGCATTTTTCTGAAGAAAGTGTCCACAGGTTTTAAACAAATTCTTAAAAGAAGTCATAAATTAAAAGACAGTGAAGAACCGCTTGCCCTAAGAAGTAACCTTGACTGAACTTTGAAGCCTAGCTGTTGGGCAGGGTCTTCCATTGCTCTCCCTCTGCAGCTGCCCTGCTAAACCTCTGGATACGACCAGTCTTGCTTCCCTCCTAAGGGGCTGCGAGGCCCTTCTCCTCTCGGGGTGGGGACCACAGCTAGTGCTGATGTCAGGCTGGCCCTGCCCCCGACAGTCACTCACTATCACTCACGTAGCCTGTGCTGGACACCACTTAGACTATATATCTGTGGCTAATAGAATGATATATTTCAAGACCTCATGAAAAGGACTTTGGCTCATTGGCTGTTCCGTATTAGCCACACTACTACTCCCCTCTTATAGAAAAGACAGAGGGAGGCAGCCTTTATAATACAGCACATCTGGCTCTTTTAATCCTGCCATTTGGGTTGTTTCCATAAGGAAAAGCGTGCTCTGTGCACCTTTTTTTTTTTTGCGGTACGCGGGCCTCTCACTGTTGTGGCCTCTCCCGTTGCGGAGCACAGGCTCTGGACGTGCAGCGTCTCAGCTGGGCTCCCGCGCCCAGCCGCTCCACAGCATGTGGGATCTTCCCGGACCCGGGCACGAACCTGTGTCTCCTGCATCGGCGGGCGGACTCTCAACCGCTGCGCCCCCAGGGAAGCCCTGTGCACTTTCTTGATTATGGTCATACCGCCGTTCCTTCCAGGTTAGCAGCAGACATGTCAGCTTGTACCACAGAAGGCAGCTGAAGCCTGGGTGGGTAAGGACTTGTCAGAAAACTCACCCAGGAGGAGAAAAAGCTGACCTTCAAGACCTGCCATGGCCTGCCGTGGCCGGAAACTCTTGTGCATTTTTAGTTTATGCAGCAGTTGGGCAGGGTATCTTTCCCAGTGGGAAAACCCAGGGTCAGCGAGGGTCAGCAGCCTTCCCCACTCACTCAGACAGTAAACAGGAGATGCCGTTTCCCTGGGTGTCTCTGATCCCAAAGCCCAGGCTCTTCGAGCCACCCTGCACAGGGAGTCACATGACTCCCTGGCATGAGTTACCCTGGCAGGACTCCAACCCAGGTGTGTCTGGTTCCAAAGTCTGCACCTTTCCACCACCTGCGTGGCCTCCCTGTCTAGTGAGTAATATGGCAGTGTCCACTGTCTGAGAGATCCAGGTCTTCCTTACTAACAGCCCTTCTTGCTGGGAAGTCCTTCTGCACCTCTGGCCTGAGTGGCCCACTCCCTCTCATTCAGACCCAGGTGAGAGGTAAGGAAGCAGAGCCCTTTGTAGGCCCAAATCCCAAGACTGGGCAGATCAGGCCGCCCTTCCCAGCCACCTTGCCAAGGGCATCGGGCCTCAGCTACCAGTGAGATCAGGGGCTGTGTAACCATGGAGGCCAGTGTGTGCATTTGGTAGGGGGTGGCGTCCCCGTGGGCCTTCTCTCAACCCACATGTCAGTGCCTGCTCTGCTCCTGGGGCTGGGGTTAAAAGCAGTGAACGAAACAAGTTCCTGTTCTCAGAGCCTTTACATTCGAGTGAGGGAGAGACAAAAATACGGATGAATAGATATGTCATACGGTCTCAGGCAACAACACATGCTGTGAAGAAAGCAAAGCAGGGTGATGGGGGAGCGTGCTGTTGTTGGAGAGGGTGAGGCCTCTCTGAGGAAGAGGCATTTGAACAGAGGCCTGAAGGCATCTGGGAAGGCGTCCCAGCAGTAGCACAGCACAGGTTAAGGAACAGGAGAAAAACACTGAGCTGAGACTGTATGGGAGACACTCCCAGAAGGAGAGGTAAGGAGGCCAGGGTGGCCGAGCCCCGGGCCAGGGGCAGAGTGGTAGGAAATGAGACTGAGGAGGACCAGATCTGCAAGGCCATGTAGTCTGTGACCAGGATGCTGGATTTTATTATAAGTGCGGTGGGACAGCCCTGGCCGTTGTAAAGGATCACTCAGGCGGTGACCAGACCCAGGAGGGGTAAGAGGGAGAGCAGATTCGAGGTTGCCACGATAGCCCAGGCATGAGATGATGGCAGCTTAGACTCTATGGAAGAGGTGGGAAATGACCAGATTTATAATGTTTTGACAGTACAGCTGATAAGATTTGCTGATGAATTGGAAATAGAGAGAAAGGGAAGTCAAAGGTGACCCTTAGTTTTTGTGAGGGAGCACAGGTCAGTGGTGGTACCACCTACTAAGATCAGAGTGGGTAGGGGTGGGGGACAGTCAAGACTTTCGTGTATGTGAAGTTTCAGGTGTCCATCAGACATCCAAGTGGGCCTGTCACGTAGGTTGACCTTTAGATGAATCTGGAGTTGAGGAGGGAGGTCGGGGTTAGAGGCAGGACATGAGGAGCCATCTTCATGAGGCCACTGAATGCCCTGGGAGTAGATGAGGTCCCCAGGGGTGGATGTGGATGGAGGAGGGAAGGAGAGAGTCCAACACTGACAAGTAAGGCAGGACAGAGGTCTGCGAAAGAGACGCAGAAGGACTGGCCATGGTGAGACAGGAAGAAATCAAGCAGAGAGGGGTGTCCCAGAGGCCAAAGGGTGATCATTTCAATAAGAAAGGAATGATGGAGATCATTGGGCTCTGCCCAAAAGGCTCTGCCAAGTAAAATAAGATGAGCCTGAGCATTAGCCATTGGATTTGGCAACTCGGGGCGGTTTGCAACTGTAAGAAGGAAGTTTAAAGCCTAGTTTGAGGTGTATGCAGCTAATAACTAGCTGGGTAGGGATTTAAACCCACACCTTGGCTCCAAACCACTGTGGTCCACTGCCTCCATGGCCAGGGAGCCCTTGTGCCTGTGGCTGAGCCGACCCCCACTTCTTTTCTTGGCCTCAGTCTCTGCTCCCACTTTTAGCTGTCTCAGGCAGCTAAAATGTATTAGGTTGAACTAAATAAAATTGCTATTTTAGTAGGTCAAAAACACTTGAATATTGGCAAGTGGTGTGGTTCAACCCGAAACAGGGGTGTAAAGCACTTAGCATCGTGCCAGGCACGGCCTGAGTACCCAATAAATGCCAGCTCTTACTCCACATCTCATTCGCTCCTCTGTTGGGGTGTTGTTATTCCCTTTTTCCTGGTGAACAAGGTCAGGAACTTGCCTGAGGACTCACAGTCACCGGCCTGCAGAGCCAGGAAGGCTCTCATCCTGACCAGAGCTCGCTCCCTCCTGATTTTGCCAGCATGCTGCTCGCTCCTGGGCAGAGAGAGAGAGAGAGAGAGAGAGAGAGAGAGAGAGAGAGAGAGGCCAGCCCCTCAGCCTTGCCCCCGCCTGGGGCTCCTGGAAGCTCAGACCCCCCTCCCAGAAGCCTCCCAAGACCTCACTCCCCCTACCTAGGGTTGCAGCTCTGGGAATGACCTCTCTCGGGGGAGACAGAAGAAGAAATGCTGCGTTGGAAGGCTGAGCCCAGAGCTAGCCCAGGAGTGGAAGGGGTGAGGCATTGTCCATATAAGGACACGTTTTCCTCTCTATGTTGAGGCCCCTCCTCACACCACCACCTTCCTCCCCCCTGCTTCTTTGGGGGCACCAGCAGACCAGCAAAGGACTCCAGCCCTGGGGCCCAGATCTAGAAATGGAGTTCAGTTTCATCACAAACTGATTAAAATAGACAGAAAATACATGCTGCTCTTAAACTTTTATTACTATTATTTTTATCCCCTGGGCAGCCATGTGAGCACAAAGCTGGTTCTGATTAAGCACGTGGTCCTCTCAGCGCACTCCTTGCTGCGGTTCTCACGGACAGACTGATGGCTGGTGGCTCGTGGTGCAGGCACAGCCCACAGGGGGCGGGGGTGCTGCAGAGGGAAGAGGGGGCTCGTTCCACCCCTGTGGGGCTCCAAGTCTGGGGGTGTGCCTGGTCAGCCAGGGAAACTTGAGCCCCTTTCCTCACGGCCAGATGGAAAGATAAGGAATATCTACAAACAAGGCTCAAAGCACATGACGGGATGGTGTACTCACAAGTCAGTGTAAAGCAGGCACCCAAGAGCTGAGGACGGTTGAGGAGGCAGGAAACATACAGCAGGGGCCCATCCGGGAGGGCCTTGTGAAGGTGGAGGATTCTAAAGCGGATTTGGAAAGGAGGCGAGGAAATGCGGCGAACAGGAGAAATGAATGAACAGGTAAATGATCACCGTCGCACGCATTCTCTCCCTAGAGCCTCGTAGTGCTGTGAGGCAGAGAAAATAAGTGTAGTTTCCCTTGTACAAATGCGGAAACAGAGACCGGGGCAGCTGAAATTATTTGCCCACGATCCCAGGGTTGCTGATGACAAAGCTGCAGCTAGAGCCCTCTTCTCTCCATCCCTACTCTAATGATACTTGGAAGCAAAGCCCATCATGACCCCACAAGGAGAGAAGGAATCTCAGTCCCCGTCTCCTTTCCTTCAGGAGCCCAGGAAAACTGGGCCTCTCCTCCTTTGCTTGCTTATGCCTCAGTTTCCCCATCAGTTAAAAAAAAATCTTGGTCCTTCCTTGTCTCCCTCCTCTGATGCCCCGGAACTCACTGGGAAAAAGACGGCAAAGCGAGTACTCATGCCAAGGAAGAGAGGACTGTCTGTGCACACTCTGTCCTCGCCTCCTCTTCCTTAAAAGGGGGGAAAACAAAGACATTTCTGGGTGCACCTTTCTTTAAATTGTCATTGGTGCTGTCAGAAGTGCTGGTCTGGAAGGAAGGGAAGAAGGGAGGGGCCCAGTCAGGGAACCATAGACTCACCCCATGACCTTGGTTTATGGCAGCCTGATCTGCAAATGGCAAGGGAAGTGTACCCGCCCAGCCCCTAGTTCTGTGCTTCCGAGCCCACCCCGCAAAGCCCCAGAAGCTCAGTCTAGGCGAGAGCACGTGTTAGAGTCTGGGATTGCCCCACCGTGGAGGCGGGGACAGGGAGATGGCCCTTCCTCCCCAGACAGGCCACAGGAATGTGGCCAAGCATCAGCTGGGAAGTCCCACCCCCTCCTTTCTCCCTCTGCACTTCCTCTTCAGGAGAAGGAAAAGGATGCACAGGAAGGGGCTGGGAGGGGGAGGCTCCGTCCCAGCTTAGTCCCTGAAGAGAGTTCCTTGTGGGGAAAATGCTGGAGCCCAGTGATAGCGGTACAGCCAGCCCCTTCTTATCCCGGTCCCAGCAGCTTGCTAGAGTCCAGTCTCTTCTCGGCCCAGTGACGGCCTTTACCACCCAGCCCAGCGCTATGTCACCCTGCTGCCCTGACAAGGGAGGGTTCCCCCCCCACCCCGGCATCTTCCACACTGGGCATGAATGGGAAGAGGGGGAGCAGAGGACAGCCCCGCGGAGTTGCGCACTCACCCGGGCAGCATTTCAGCTCTGCCCAGAGGCTGCCGCTGCAGGGTTCCAGTGGCTCTGCTTTGGGGAGGGTGCAGAAGCCCCCACAAGGGCTCCAAGGCTCAGTCCAGAGCCCGTGAGGCATGCCGGCCGCCTGCTCAGAGGCCTTCATCTGGTCTGGAGGTCTGACTGTCAGTGTCCCTCGGTACAAGAGTCAGAGACAACGGGCTGCAAGCCCCCTCCAGACCATGAGCCCAGGGCAGCAACCCATCCCCTGCTTCCCCTGTTCAAGAGACCTCTCTACACAGAGCGGGCTTTTGGAAATCCAGAATGTTTAGCCCAAGTGCGTTAAGACCCAGTGAAGGGAAAAGATAGGCACTGGTGAGCAGAGGGGCTCTGACTGTCCCCCAGCTCTGCCAGTGATGCGATTCTGGCGGCCCGTGCCTGCAGCAGAGGCGAAAGCGCTACCCAGCTCCCAGGATAGGCTGTCCATCCATCTTCAGGGCAGCTGTGCTCTGCACCTGATTTATAAGGCCGGGTGGCGAGGACACTCCTTCTTTGGTGCTCTTGAGAGGAAGGTGCCTGGCCTGCCCAGAAGGCACTGAGGGCCCTCAGAGTGGAGCCGGGACGGGGAGGACCTGTTGGGGTTGAGGTGGGATGTTTATTGCGATGCCTCTTCTGCTTCTTTCCCTGGGTAGCTGCCTGCTCATATTTGTCGTTAACCTGTTTTGTTCCAGATGCCCCCACCAGTGAGGACGCCAAGGCCCCGGAGATGAAAGCCCGGAGGCCAAAGAGCTCTCTTCCTTCCATGCTAGGAACAGAGAGTAAGTACTCGTTCAGCTCTTCCAGGCAAACCCGGGACTGAGGGCTGGCCGCTTCCCTGCCTGTGCTCCTCGGAGCCTGGACCCTGCCACCACCCTGGTGCCCTGTGAGCTCCCGGTGACCGAGCCACTGGCCTTTTCTCACCCCTCCCACCTCTCCAAGGCCTGAGTGGTGCTGCACATCCACATCCTCTGGCAGCGTCACTCAGGCCCCTTCTGCTTCCCACCAAGAACCCTGGGAGACCTTCCCCTAATCTCTCCCAGTTGAGTCTTTCCTGCCACATAGACCTTCTTACACAGTGGCTCTGATCAGATCACTCCTGGTTGGAGTGCCCAGCGGTCCCCAGAGCCCACCAGTCCCGTGCAAGTGAACCTCTCACACGTTGCCGTCCTGGCACACCTGCCACGTGTGAGCACACATGCTGACATCCAGCCTCAGCCTTTCTCTCCAAGCGCTGCCCCCCAGCTCCTTACTCCTATTTCATCCTCAAGCCAAACTGAGCTCCTCTGTGTGCACCGGACATCCCTGTGTTCCTCCCTTTGTGCCTTTGCTTTGGCACCTCTCTTGTGGGACAGGCTCCCACTGAAAAGTCATCTCATCCCTGAGCTCGTCTTTGCTCCAGCTGAACGGAACTCTTCCCTCCCGTGAGCCCCCATAGCACTCAGCATCCCCCTTCTGCCATTGGCTGTCCTCTTCCCAGGGTCACGGTGACGTGTCTGTGTCTCATCCTCCTTCCTCCTTTTTAAGTTCCGTGGGCCTCCAGCTGGGCCAACTTAGGGGTGCACCTTTCAGGATGCCAGTGCCGAGACCTGCTCCTAGAAAGGCCTTACCACCATCTCTTAGAACAAACTTGCAGCTGTGGTCTAAATAGCCAAGCAGGGAAGGGGCTTCTCCTATGACTCTGCCTGACTCTCTCCCTCTTTTTGAATCTTGGCTTCCCCGAGAGCCCCTTATAAGCTTTTAGGCGCTGTGCCTAGGGTCCACGGTGCTTTTACAGGCCCACAAAAATATTTCAATGTCTTATAAAATTAGGGAAAAATTTAACTTTTAGGTCAAAGAAAATGTTCTAATTCATAACATTAATATATTCATCTTTATACCAGTGCAGTTGTAAAATATAATTTATGTATGTATGTATGTAAGTATATACATTTTTTTTTTTTCTTTAGTGAAGGGAAGGAGCCTTCAGAGGCAAAAGTGCTTAGACTCCACGAAGGTCATAATGCAGCCCTGGCTTCCGCTACTGATTAATTATTGGTCTAATTTTGTTAGAAGTATGCTTCGAAACCTCCAATTTTAACAAAAGATATGGGGTTGCTTGGGCATCCCCAGCACACTCTGTGTTTTAAAAGAGCAAAAGACAAGACAAACTCTTAATTACCCATACTAATAAAGGGAAGTGAGCTAGACTAATTCAAAGGCTGCCTCTCTTTTTCCATTACAAGGCAGTGTTCTGTAACTTAGTTTTGTTCTCATCTCTTCAAAGCAACCTATTTACCATCCCAATGAGGAGCTTGGGTTCCTCATGCACATACCAGCCAAGCTTTTGGGGGTGGGGAGCACGCTCAGCCTTCAGTATGCCAGGGCAGCCAAATTGGAACGATAATTTCTCATGGATATTTATTTATTTTTGCTGTGTTGGGTCTTCGTTTCTGTGCGAGGGCTTTCTCTAGTTGTGGCGAGCGGGGGCCACTCTTCATCGCAGTGCGCGGGCCTCTCACTGTCGCAGCTTCTCTTGTTGCGGAGCACAGGCTCCAGACGCACAGGCTCAGTAGTTGTGGCTCATGGGCCTAGCTCCGCGGCATGTGGGATCTTCCCAGACCAGGACTCGAACCCGTGTCCCCTGCATCGGCAGGCAGACTCCCAACCACTGCGCCACCAGGGAAGCCCTCTCATGGATATTTAACCACTGGGAGCCTCCGATTATCAAAAGTAGACGTTTAATAATAAGTTGTTGACGATGCATAAACAATTCTAAGAAAAACCTAGTGAGAATGGGTTAATGATTTTCTCTTCCGAAAGGATTTCTTGGGCCTGTGTTCTATTTAGTTATGGGAAAAAGTCCTCGGGAGAGACATGGGATCTCATAAGAGCGCCAAGTGATGGTGAACTGGGTCTGATGCGATTGTTCTCCTCTCGGGGGGCGGGGGGCAGAAGCAGGAGTGCCTGGAGTTCGAGCTGGGAGGTCAGCAGCCTCCTGTCCTCAGCTCTGGCACATCTATTCCGGTGAGACCCCGAGGGAAGTGAGGTGGGGTCAGAGGAGAGCCATGAAAGAGAAAAACAAACTGGAGACAGTGAGCAGACCCGGGACCTGGGCTCTTTGCCCTGGAGAAGAGAAGGCTGTGGAAAACCCCAGCCAAGCTGTCATCATGCAGTTCCAGGGCAGGGGCTCTCGACCCTGGCTGCGTGTTAGATTCACCTGGGGAGCATTTAAAACCACTGCTCCCTGCTGCACCCCAGACTAATTAGATCAGAATCTCTGGCAGTGGGATCCCGGCTTCAGTGTATGTTTACGCTCCTGGGCCATTCCAAGGTGCTGTCAGCCAGGCTGGAAACCAGCTGTCCAGAGGGAAGCCCGGTGCCCTGGCACCGCTGGTCTTGAGAAGCAGAACCGGGTCTAACTCTTCTAACTCCATTAAATGTGGAACCACCGCGGGCCCCCGGCCCAGGTCCTCAGGGCATTTCCATCACCTGCCTTTAGGGAGAGAGCAAGATGCTCCGGTGGAGTCTGGGCGCCATGGTTCTTTCCCCTCCGAAGGGTGCAGAGAAGGGGGCTCAGTGGGCAGTGCTGTTCAGAGGAAGGGGCAACTGCAACTGCTCCAATTCCGTGGCAAACAAACACATGCGTGACTGCATCAGCTCCAGCTGACACTGCTTGTCTGCTGAAGGGGAATTTCACTCTGTGTAGAAAGCCTTCACGTTGGAGTTACAGACAGATGTCTTACTCCCAAAAGAATGGAAGTGTGTGTCTCTATGTATAGTAATGGCCATGTTGAATCCCTCTGCCGGCCCACGCCTCCTGGCCCCCATCATCCCAGCCTGTCACTCCCTGGGGCACTGAGAGCATTAGCAGCATTTTTCCTTCGAAACCTGCAGTTTCCTGGGTGCCTGTGTACCACTGCGGGGCTTCCTTCCCAGGAGGCTCCTGAGAAGGCAGCTGCCCAGAGATAGGGAATGAAGGGGGTGTCTTTTAGGTCTGCACCCCCAGTTCTTTTCTCACTTTGGCGGATAATTTATATGATTTATCAGTTACATAAGTTAAATATGCATTCCTTCTTGTTTCAACATTTTAACTAGTACAGAAGTTTACCAAGTACAATGTGAAAACCCTCTTTCATCTTACCCCTAATTTCACTCACGTCCTCAAATATATTCACAATTACTTTTTTCTGAATATTCACATATACACATGCAAATATTTCAGTTGGATTTTTTTCTCACAGAAATGGAATTATCCGGTCTGTACACCTCTGCAACTTGCCTTTTTCTCTTAGCATTGCCGTCCCCAGTCCCAGACATCTCTGTTTCCATGAGAAAGCCCAGATTCTCACGGTGCTGAGTGGTCTGGCTGTGTATGTGTGTTCATTTTCATCAAGGGCTGGGAAGTACCTAATCTAACCAGGAAATCCGTCTTTCCTCCAGTGACCGAGGGAAGGCTGAGTGGTTTCCTAGTCAAATAGATGGTGGCCAGATGCCTGTCTGCATGCCCTCCCCTCCCCAGCTCGGATGTTTGGTCCTGTGAGGGAGCTGTCAGGTGTGAAAGTGGATGGTGCTTGTCTACCCTGGCCTGAGAGCCCCTGGGGGCACCACTGCTGCCTAGCTCTGGGGAGCGTGAGGGAAAAGCCAAGCTGATTTGCCCAAACCCGAGGGGCCGGATGAGAGAAAACTGACGAGAGTACAAGTTAACCTGACAGACACCAACTCACAAGTACAGAAGTGAGGAGGGGGTCATCTGGGAGGGTTTTGGGATGAGGGAAACGCTAGGCCAGGTTATGAAAGAGGAGAGGAATGTGGTTTTGTTGAGGAGGGACTGTAACACTCCTCTTGTGAGGGGAGACTGGAGGGAGGAATGCACAGGTACTATCGTGAGGGCTCCCGATTCAGTCACCTGCCCATCACACAAAACAAGAGTTTTTTGAGCACCCATGCAACAGGCATCATCTTAGCCACTCAATCTATGTCACTTCAGGCAAGTCTTATTCAACTGAGCTACAAATAGTTGTTCCCATTTGACAGATGAGCAAATCTGAGTCTTAGAGAACTAAACTGTCTTGCCCAGAGTCTCACAGCTCACAGCTAGTTACATGTGGGCACTGTGAGGAGAACCCTGATCTCCGTTCCTCCCACACCACCCTGTTCCTTCCATAGACTCAGGGCCATCCCTTGTGCTGTCCACATAGTGGACACTGTCCACCAGTGGGGACAGAGGTCTGACTGCCATCAGAGCTGCGGGGGGAAGAGTGTGACAGCCGGCATGCTTCCCTGCTTCCCTGGATCTTGAGACCTGTCAGGGTCTTTGCTGCATGCCTCTCAATGGGAATTTTTCTCTAACTTTATTTTGATATAATTTCAAATTTACAGAAAAGGTGCAAGAATAGTACAAGAAACTCTTGTACACCCTTTACTTAGATTCATCAATTATTTGCATTTTGTTCCATTGTTTTGTCATTCTCTGTGTATAAACTCATATATATATATATATATATATATATATATATACCATTCATAAAATATTCATATCTATATATCTATAAACACTGTATATATACTATATATACACTATATCTGTTCATATATATTCACCATTCATCATATAGACATATATATACCATTTACAAATAGAGACATCATGCCCTTGATCTCTAAATATCTACTGTGTATCTCCTAAGAACATAACCGCAATGCAATTATTAAAATCAGGTCATTTAACATTGAACCGATACTGTTTAACCCACGGTCCCATATTCAATTTTTGTCAATTGTCCCACTATCCTTTATGGCT